AGTAATATTACATCTATGAATATATATGTATATATAAAATATATCCATAAAACACTTGAACATTTATAATATTCTTGAAATTTCGCGATATTCCGTACCAGAAAATACACCATACATAATACACTTACTATCAAAAGCTTAAGTCCGAATGTTAAATGGAGATTATATGACAGGATTAAATTTAATTCTATACTCAGAAAAGATGTGACTGCCAGAAGTCAGTTAGTTTTATTTCTCAAAATTATCTATAGGTTTATTGCTTAGAACCTTTCCACTTTCTTATATCTTTTCTTACCGCATTAACGTGAAGCATTCACTTCTGATATAGAATGAGCTTTCTTTGTTTAAGAATCTAACTCGTATTGGTTATTAGTCTAAAAGTTTTTTAAATGCACTCTTTATAATTAAAACTCATTTTTTAAGCAATTTCATTCGGTCCTGGATCACATAAGAGATATCATTCTTGCAACCGACATAGCTAATCATTTACAGAAAGTGCAGGATATTAATCGAATGGTTGAAGGTGAGTAGTTCGGTTTACAGGAATTTCAAGTCCTGGGGATTATGACCTTTTCCTTTTTCTTTGGGACGAAATTTAACTTCCAGGTATTCAGAGAATGAGAAGTATTATGACACATTATTACAATAAATCTTTTAAATATGAAATCATTTGGTCAAGTTTTAAAAGGCATGATCGCCTCTGTCACCATTCATACCATAAAATTATCGCTCTGTAAACTACGGATCCAATTTGCCCTAGAAATTGCTGGACTATAATTTTATACTTTTATGAAAAGTAAATAAGCTTAGCAGCAGAGTGTATTTAAGAGTCGGCTTTGATCAGTTTTTGCGGAATATGTTCGTTTGTACTACCAAAGTAACACTTTATGAAATTTCTAAAAGTTTAATAACTTGTGTTTCAGTTGGCTTTGATAGTTCACTAAAGCATCATCGATATTTACTACTATGCCTCATGATGACTTCAGCCGATCTGTCGGATCAGACGAAAGACTTCAGAAATAGCAAAGCAATAGCTGTAAGTTTGATTCCATGGCAGTAGAATTTAAAAATAGGTTTTTTCTGAAATACCTCTTGACTTCTCTTTTCTAACTTCTTGATTTTTATACTCATCTTCATTTTGGCCTAGGAAATTACCAACAATTTTAATTTTAGAATGAGATTTGGGAATAACAGAATGCTTGGCGCTACTTGTCATACGCATTGAATTAGTTATGTTACAATAATATTACTATTAAGACAGTTGCAGTTCCCGAGTCGTATATCACCATCTTTAGGAAAACATTTATAAGGAATTTTTCTCGCAAGGAGATCTAGAAAAGCAGATGGGAAATTGTCCGCTGGAAATGATGGATCGAGATCGTGCATGCGTGCCTAAACTACAGCTTGAATTCATGGATACAATTGCAGTACCTGTTTTTGAGCAAGTTTTTAAAATTTTATTCTTAACTTTTAATTTCTTTAATCTCTATTTCATTTATATTAGGCTCGTTTAATAACTTGTGCGCATTGTTGCAGATACTTGTCAACGTTGTTACCCGAAAGCAAAAGTACATATGAATCGATGTTATTCAATCGGAAATGTTGGTTAGCGCTGGACGAGATACTGATTGAGGAGAAGTACCCAACTCTTGGTCTTGATTATCTCAAAGATAGTGCTTTAGAGAAGCGAGTAATCAAACGAGCCCAACAACGACAGGAAGAGTAATAAGGTTTTTTGCGATTTCTTTTTTTTTCAAAGATTGTTTGCAATACTGATTTCTGAACCTGACAAAATGTAATATTTCTTCAAAATCCGATAACAAATAATGATAAATTCTTAAGCAGCAAAATATTTTGTATGAATGATTAATTGCATGGTAAACAATACACTGTACTGGCGACAGTGATAACGTCGTTTATAAATTATAAATAGCTATAATATGCTGTAATCTAAACAATATATTAAATTTTACACTAGCCGGTGCTTTATATATTGTTTTTAGAAATAAAACGATAAAAAGTCGCAAGACCCAAGAGTACATCTTGTGCATTGTATCTTCCAAGTACTATATTTTTATAATATAATCAATCAATTAATTATTTTGACATTCTAGACAATATGTTTTGGTATGTCAAATCCTTCCAGAGAAAATCAAAAATGAAGATATGTGGTTTTTGTATAACCCACTTAACTTTTGTATATTTTCAGGTGATAATATGTTTTTGAAATTTTCAACTATATGGCGCAAACTCGATATGTTTAAATACATTCACTCAGCAGCTGACCTCTATTGCTTAATTGAAAGTGGCATCCAAGCAACTACCATCTCTTTTAACTTGTTTATCCATCCCTTTTAGTATTTCAAATTTGACTGTTAAATCTTGTTGTTGCCTTTTTTCCTTACTTTTTATTTCTAATTTTCTTTAATTTGTACGAAGTAGCTGCCCTTATTCTGCATTATTTTTGCAGTTCATAACATGAGTTCTTTTTAGTTGAATTTCGTTTAATTTACTTAGCAAAAAATAAAATGCTAAGAGTTTTTTCTGGATTTCGTAACTATTTAAATATTAAAATGAAATTTGGAAAGCTACTCAAACTATTCGCTGTATTAGGAGGATAGAGTCGTCTGCTTAAAGGATAAAAATTTGAAGTGCACTTCTGGTTTTGAAAAATAGTGTGAGAAAATTAATCTTGGTATTTTGATTCATACATGTTTTGGAATTTATTTCAGTTTTTCAGAAGTACCCTTGTATGTATATTTTGATTGCTGTCGGGTATTGTAAACATGATTCTCAGAATGCTTTTTTCATTTCTCGTGAAATCAATTTCACGATTAGTATTTCATATGATCATTTTGCAGTCAATGAAAAAATTGCTGATTGTTCGTTTGTTTTCTTCTTGCAACACTACTGCACTTTTTGGAAAATCTTGATATTATCTTGCTTTTGATCCCAACTGTTAGTATCTTTCTCAAAACAAAATGAATGTAATTCCTGATCATGGTTGTCATTTTTCAGAATTTATAAAACGAATATATATATCAAGTAAAGATGTTAGTTATATGGTTAATTGGTTAGCTTTTGAATCTGCACGAGAAATTGCAGTAATGTTGCTGGAAACTTTTCATAGAATTATCCTGCCTGGAAATACATTGAGTGTAATTGTATATGTCTTTCAGTTTTTTTTATCTTCTACAAAATTGTCTTCGCAGCCCGCCGAAACGAGCTTCTCTCATTCACAATATCTTTTTTTAAAAACAATGCCACTCAATGTTGAAGTTTCTGTTCGGATTGTTCGATAATATTTCGTAGAGTTTTGAAATTCTTTTTGCAGGATGTCTCATAGGGACTTGTGATGTAACAAATATGTATGTGACTGCGAGCGCTGATAAAAATTTGCTTTGCCCCACTTTGCAGAAACATTGCTTTATATTATCAACGTACTAGATAGGAAATGGGATTTCACAATCTGAAATTTTCTTTGATCAAATCATATTCAATTTTTCAGCCATACCTCAACTAGCAGCAGTAGAAGTGAACTAAGCTATAAGAACCGAAGATTCAATCAAAAAAAAAAACAATACAAAAACAACGTCTAAATGCTCTCATCTTTACCCGGTAGTTAAACCAACAAAGCATTATACGTCGCATCTTGATGCAGTTAATGTCTAATAAATTGAACCATTAATAGGTTAACTGACATGAGAGAAGATAAATCAGCAAATGTTAGCAAACTGAGTAGACTTTTTGAAACACAATTTCATGTTCATAATTTCAGATTCAACTGTGAAATGCTGTAACTGACGGTAATGTATCTAGTTGACCTTCTCCCTATGTTAGATAAATTTCAGACGAGTATATTAAATATGGGAAAAAATGAATCCTAGAACATTGTTGACAAAGTCACTGGAAGCTTTCCAAACTCATCACGAACACTACAGTGTACAATTTCCTACATTAATATTTATTGCAATATTGCATTAATATCAGAACAGATGCGATAAACATTTCTCATTTTTAATTGATCACTAAAAACATAAATAAGATCATACATAACTAAATCAATCTGTTTCACTGCACTTCACCATAATATTTCAAGAAAATTATGCAAAGCTGTTATCGGTGTTTGATTTTCAAGCGAACAGAGGTGAAATTCATATAAATTAAATCCTGTGACTTTAATTTTCTAGATTATCACAATTTATTGCTTGAAAAACACATAATCAAAAAGTACTTCCTGATTGCTGAACATGCATCAACACTTCTATCACAAATTCCTGCATTTCAATTGAATTTTATTAATTCGCTGCTTCTTCTTCGCTTACACGTTCTTGGTACTCTTATCACCTCTACAGTTTATTCGGAAGGAGTTGAATTGCAAGCATTTTCGTGACCTGAAGACATCAGTTATTTATCAAATTGTGCATGATTGTTAAGAAATACAAACACCAAAAGCATTCGAATGTAATGAACAAAATTTTATGCTCGACGCAAAAATAAATTCTCTTCGCAACTTGAAGGAAATTTTTTTTTCTAATACTAATTATGAATTTGTGTTAACCTTCGTATAAATACACATTTTCATTCTGGAAAAGTTTCTGTATCTGGAATGTCCAATTTTCGTCCTCGTGCCCGTAAACGATTATCGATCTACAAAGCAAAACACATCATTTAGCTGAAAATTATTTTCCGTGTGCAAAATCTTGCACTGCTTACTATTATCTTTAAATATGTACCTGGAAATATGAGGAAAAATAAACTAACCAGAGATAATTTACACTGAGCAAATACATCTAATAACTGAAAACATCGCGCTGGAACAGTATCAGCACGTGAGTGCAAGCAATCCAGTGCTTGACGGTGCTCTTTTTGAACACAGTCTGATTCCTAAAAGTGTAACAGTATTTTAAAAAATCTCTTTATAAGAAGAAATGAAAGTCATTTAGACAATTGTTCAAATAAATGTAGTGAAAATAGCTATCTTATTTGGCAATCTACTGCTTGCACATTTTTTTATTTTTTATTTTCTAATAGCTATTAAAATCTTCTAGAAGAAATGAGAGCCATTTTTTGAGCAAACTACTATTATACCCGCAGGCTAAATTCTAAATGTAGTAATCGCTATCTCATTTAAAGCACAACAAAAAACAAAACAAACGAATCACATTTTTGCTTCATAAATTCATGCAGTCTGATTTCACATTTTTCTTATCAGTTCATTAAACACATTTAAAACTTTCCAATTATGAGCTGTCACTTATTTTTCAGTTTGTTAGAACTAAATTATGGACGATGGAGTAAATTAAATGCCAAGAAAAACTAACAGACGGATATGAAACCATAAATTCATAAATTCATTAGTTTCCTTCATCCGATCATATCGGATAACTCCAAAACAATTAATTAACGATCCAGAAAGCGTTCCTAATTTCATGTTTAGTTTCATAGACTGATACTGTGAATCATCAATACTTACTCTAAGACATCTTTTCAGTGCTTGCCGTATATGATCACATGCTCTGCCGGTTTTCTTTTTCGGTTTTTCTTCATTTTCATCCATCACTTATCTGAAAAATATTTATCGTTACGTTTAGCTGTTAAGAATACGCGAAAGAAACTGAAAAGTTAAGTTTACTCACAAGTACTATTGCGGAACAAGTGTGACGAAGAGGAAAGAAACCGCGGCTCACGTACGCTAACATCTAATCCCACGAAAAACATTTCAGTTATTTCGAGCACTTCTTAGTAATTTGCACTTCTGCCGGACTGTTTCGCTACAGCCCATCTCGTTTGCATTTTCGTAAATGTTAGGCTAATGTGCATGTTGGATGTCTGATCTATAACTCGAAGTTAAGTTGATTGCACAGGAAAGTAGGAGCATTGTTATCACTGGCAGAAAACATTTGATGCTATGAGAGAGAAGTTAGCAGGGAAGGAGGTCAAGCGGGCCAATATTATTCATGTATGGGTCATACAGTGGCATTTTTATGGTCACTCTTCGTTAGTTATAGTTCCATTCATATTCCAATACTTATGCATGCAATGCTTACTGCTAATCATTTATGGAATTTTTAGTGAGAAGAAATGGATGATGAAGAAATTGGAGAGGGAGAATTTGTTGTGGAGGCAATCCTTGGAGAGCGTTACAATAAGAGGAAGAAAATGAAGGAGTATCTACTGAAATGGAAGGGATATAGTGATGCGGAGAATACGTGGGAGCCTGAAACTAACTTGGTACTGTTATTTTTTCTTTTTAATACTATGATATGATTATGATTTCACCTTAATTATTGTAAGGCAAAAATGCCTCTCAAATTGTAACAACTTCGTCCACAAATTCTCAAATGAAATGAAGGAAAACAATATTCAACGTCGAGGGAAGACATTTTCTGCTTAGCAAATAAATTGTAAATATATGATTTAAAATGCTTTTGTTAGTTTTAAGCTATCTTTTCTTGAGAGTTTCTGTTATGCAGTTTAGTAAACTGGAGCTATCTTATATATTTTTGTATTTTTATATAAATTTGTTAATCTTTTTTAGACTTGCCACCTCAAACGTTGATAACTTGAATTGGAATTTTTTTTATAAAAAAATATTTCTAATCCTATCCTTTCCATTTCCCTGAATTGTTTCATTTTTTCTTTTCGTATATAAAGAAGTGGAGATTTAATGATATGTTTCGCAAATATGACAATATACCGTTAGATTGGCATAACAATATTCCTGGTTTAACAAATTCTTAGATTATTATTTCAGGATTGCGATGAATTAATTGCTGAATTTCATGCTCAGCAAAAGTAAGAAAAATTGAACAGTTTTATTGATTTGTACTTCACGGTCAGAATTACCGTTTTTTCACAGGAATACCAGATGATTGCATAAATAAAATTTTAAGTATTATAATATATTATAGCATCATTATAATATATATAGTGAAAAAACCAAATATCTTACGAGTTCTCTCTGATAAAATTGAAGATTTTGGTTATAAATGCTGTGACGGATCGTTGAGTCCTAACATGTGAGAAGTAAAAAAATTCTTTATGTATTTCAAAATGCTTGAAATTCAGTTCAGTATGAGGCATTCACATATGTCTTATTAAATCAAGCAGATCGAGTAGTTTAAAATTATTGTTTAAACTAGAATAGTTTAAAATTATTATAATTACTACTGCTTTGAGGGCTCTCCATCATTAGGAGAAATGTGACACTAAATGATTGAAGAAATCAATGTATCTTATGTTGTATAATTTTTGATGGAGCAGCACAGAATGTATGAAAGAACATATACAATATGAGAAATGAATATCATGATATTAAGAGATTAAAACAGTCTTTAATACTGAAATGATTAGTCCTTGATTGCTTAATATTTAAGTGATATTAAGAGATTAAAAAGAACAACTAAAACGCAAAAATATATCTTAAGTTAATGTTGGGTACTATGTTGTAAAATTTAGAAATTTTATCGTTTGCTGTGTTGCAACCTGTTGTGTTCACTGCAGAGAAACTTGGGGAAAGCAGAGAAGTGAATTATGGCAAAACCTGATGGGCATTACCAATTCTAAATCGAACTCACGGAAACCGTTACCTAAAAGAAACTGTTCAGGAAGTCGCAGTCCCATCCTTTCAAACACTGACAATTGTAGTACTACGTCACAAATTTCTGTAGCTTCTCGACCTGGCTCCACTTCTTCAAACATTTCCTTGAAGCGTCCAGCTTCTGAAGACTTGTCCGAGAGTGAATATTGTGTTTATTCAAGTGAAAGTGAAGACGATGAAGAAAATCGACAACGAAGAAGTCCTGTTGTTCAAGTTTTTTCTTTTTTCACTTAGCTTCTGCTTTGCCAAAAATCTAGTTTAGTTTTATCGAAATGTTTCGAAACTGCTGCATCACATTCAATTTCACACTTTACTTACGTTGATACTTTCTTCAGTGCGTCCGCCTCCTGGTGAAAGTGGAATGGAAAAAGGTTGGGTGCCAGAAGTAATCGTCGCAGCTTGCGTAGGTTTAATGATTTTTTGTTCGTGAAATTAGCTGAAAAATTGGATTATAATGAAATTTCTGATAGTATTTCTGAAAGAGTATGAATGCGATTTGTGCTTCACTATTATGTTTGTAATTTTTAACTTTTCTCAAACAATATTCATTTCTGTAAGATTAAAAAAGACAGAAAAAAGGGGAAGAATTTATTACTCGTCACTTATTGATTTTTTGGTGAATAATTTATATATTTTTCAGCAACCAGAAGACAATTTTCCGCTTACGTATATTGTTAAATATAGGCATAAGAAAAAGTTTGAAAGGGTGCCAAGTTCAGTGTGTATAAAGTATTGGCCACAGGTAAGTTCTTGTTAAAATTCATATTTTTAAATTTATCGAATTTTTTAAGTTTATCGAATTCACTCTTTTCTGAAGAGAATTGTGCTGTGGCATCTGTTCTTGCCGTGAGAGTTATTTTTCTTAATTCATAGAAGAGGGAAGTTATTTTTCTTAATTTATAAAAGAGACCATTTAATGCTATTAACAATCTTAACTAATAAAGTTTATTAATAGCACTGAAAATGTGGTAGAATCAAATTTAATAATGTCTATGTCCTGTACTGGTATAAAACAGTGTACTTAATTTGATTACAATGTTTTGGAGAGAAATTTGTGTAATAATAAATTATTTTTCAGTTGGTGATTAGCTTCTATGAACGCGAGATACGTAGACAAAAAATAACAGTCGATGATAATAATTATTTGCCACTATGAATTTTGATATTCGCTTATGTTGCAAACTCGAATTCCAAAGATTGATTGTTTGTTTTTAATTTTTAAATATTCTTGTAATTTATCTGTTCAAAAAAACATTTCATTTGCTTTTAAGTTGGAAGACTGTTCTGAACTTTTGTTATGTACTTTGCTTTCTTCTCAAAATATTTAGTATTCTTGTAATTTATGTGTTTCATTCTGAATTATGTTGGTGTTGGATTATTACTGAATTGTTCTTCATTATCTCCTTTAGTGTTTTTGATTTCCAAGTAATATTTAGGTCAAAATATTTATTTTCTAAAAATGTCTCTGAGAGTCTCAGCAGTGACTTATGTCACTGCACTTTTTTATTGCAACGTTTCATTGGTAACTGTTTATAAAACAGAGACAGAAAGTTAGTTTTCTTCAATATTATGTAAAATTTAGAAATGTACTTGCTCGAGAATGGATTAAGAACGTCTTTCGGTTTTTGATTTTGTTTTCTGTATTTGTTGCCAATTAGTAACATTTAGTTTGATTTTTTAATCTTGTTTTTTTATGTGTAAAATCCATTTTGAAAAGTTTCACTTTTTTTGCTTTTATTATTCGACAAGAATTTTTTGGCATTTTTAGAATTTTTATGAAAATCTGAGAAATACCAAAAAGTTCTTTTTGGGAATAATACGATGTTAAGGGAGTCCCTCGGTTTGAGAGAGACAAAAACTGAAGTATGGGATTCCATTTGATTTTGGTAATTCTTTTCTCATGAATGGAGTCTTTTTCATGTCAATGTAAATTTATTTTATTTTGTTGTTACAGTTCTTTTTACATTTTTCAATTTACAATGACATTATAATATATCCGAATATGATGAGTTTCCATTCTTCTTGCTGTCATTCTAATCTCTGTTTTAAAATGCTGAGGTTTTGAAGGGACAATTTATATGGCAGTTGATGGTACTATCTGTTATCATAGAGAATAATCGACTTCGATATTTTCCGATATTTTATTTTATTTGTCATTGTTATGTCACTGATTTACTATAAATATTTGAATGCCATATTAATCCTTCATCAGTAAAAGTAAAATATCTCGGCACGCTTTATGAAATATTGGTCTTAGTATTTAAATTTACCTGGCTTTTACTTGTCTTTGTACTGAAAAAGTTCAAGTTCCTCTGAAGCAAAATTCGACAATTGAATTTCATATAATCAAGAAAGGATTTCGAAGGAAACCAGACTACTTAGATAATATTTCTTTCTTAATGAATTTGAAGTCTTTTTCATATGAATGTAAATTTATTTTATTTCTTTTTATAATTGTTTTTTCAGTTTCCTCTGTACCAAAACGTAACTGCTTCGTTTAAAGCCAGGACATATGTAGGTAATACCTTGTGCCTTATGTTTGCAATGATGGATGTATCAAAGGAACTTCAATCATCAAGGTAAGAATCATTGCTTACAAAGTAGTGGTGAAATTTCTTTTGACAAAATTTGATGTAATTTTATATATTTTTGGTACTAAATTTCAGTGCATCATTCGAACTAAAAGGAGTGGTTGTTAAGTTGGAAAATCACTGGCTTACGATTTCTGTAATTTTACCAGAGGTTGAAGAAGAATCTTTCGAGGCAAGTTCAGTTATTATTTTCAAATTCTTTCGGTGAGATCCAAATTGATCAACTAATGAAATAATATGAATCGGTATAAATTTTGCGATCACAATTGCTAAGAAAGATTTCTAGTCGAAACTTCTGGTGAGTGTTAAAAAGTGCTTGAGAGTTTCCACGTTTTATAGTATTATTTTACTTATTTTTCCCTCGAATAAAACTACCTTCAGATCAAATTAAAGAATGATACTTTATCAGAGGTCCTAAAATTGGGTTCATGGGTAATTTTACATGTTGCTGGACAAAATGTTTATGAGATTGTGCGACAGTGCAGTGAAGTGCTACCCACATATGTTTATAAGGATTTCGTTTTTGTAAGTAAAATTTTATGCTTTTTTAAAAATATTTCATCTATGGTACAACGGCAAATCATCAATTAAAAAGATAATTGCAATTTACAGCCGGGATATAAATCAGAAAACTTTCATATTTATATCTGTGAATTTTTATCAGTACACTCACATAACATAGATTAGAAATATATCTGTTCACGAAATACTTTATTTTAGCTTAAAACGAATATATCTTTTCAAGAGAGAGAAGAAGAGGGATATGGTTGCTGGGTTTGGTCACGAGAATTGGGAAAAATTGCTGCTGTCTGTCACGAAAAATATGTGCCACACCAAAATTACGTAGTGTTAGTATCGAGGTTCTCAATTCATTATGAACTTACGAAAAAATTCTTTTTAATGGATCCGTGTTTAAAGTCAGCAACTTCTCAAGAATTGTTTTCTTTGATTTCAGAAAACCGACGAAGTATCAGTTTGTTGTTGAATACAACTGGATGCTGACAAAATATATTGAAGAACCTAGTCTCAACGTTTATTTCGATGTCGTATGCATTCCCACTAATAATAGCTTAGTTTAATAAATTTACAAATTACAAAATTTTCATTTTTCCTTTTAAAAAAGTTTATCCTAGCATGTTCTTTTCAGGTTTTCCAAAAATATAGAATTTGCAGTGGACAAAAAGATCCTTTCAACAAGGAGCATGAAATTGATTGCAGTAATAGCGGAGATAATTATTCTGAGAGTAGTGTGGATGACGAACATTTTTTTTTCGACGATTCAGAAGAAAAAAATTACAAAGTATCAAACTTTTTTACAATTTTTTTACAGTGAGAACAACAAAGACAAAAAAGAATTCTATGGGAGTCGGCGAATAGGAAATTTATTATTATTGTAGTATTACACAATAAAAAAACTACTGCGTGAATTTTAGAGTTCACTTTTCTATTAAAAGAACACCCTCATTTTTACTGCAATGGGATCTTGCAATTTGCACATTGAATCTAAAACTATCTGCAGAATTCCACCACCAACAATATTTACGCTGTTATAACGAAAGTGGTGTCAAATCCAAACATCAGAGTAGTTATGCAGAAATATCGGCCTAAGGAATTCCTAAGTATGTGTGAAGCTCTTAGTCTAAAGTTCGGTAAGTTATTCATTGGTCATACTTTTTTTATTAATTACGATGAATTAGTTAGGGTCCGAATGGTTGTGTCCGATTTAAAAGGCTGAATCTATTACGCAAAATTGGTAGAAGAATAATAAAACCATTGCCTCCTCAATTCTGAAAATGTTATTTTTCAGATGACTAAAATGAATTTGCATTCATGTTTTTAATAATGCAGCCCTACGAACAACTTTTAGCTTTGACCGACATTGTCCAGTGAAAAATAAAGCTTACTAATTAAGTCGGAAGCATATACGGTTTAATCAATGTTTGTTTGTTTTAAATTATTGCGACTGTCCCATTTGAATCTTTTGTGATTTTTATTTAGCATTTCCTTGCCTTTAGTTTGTATCTGTTCTCAAAAATTCTATAAAAATTTTGTTTTTCCTTTTCCGTTTTCTTCTCAATATTGAATCATGTTTAAACTGAATTCCATATGGAGCAGCAGTGTTATTTTCATAATTTTTTCCAAAACTGATTTTCTTTATAATGCTATTCCCCAATTTAATGGAATATGCACCATTGTAATGTCAGAATAAAAAAGAAATAAAATGTTTTCCTGTTCTATCGTGTAACTTACTATAAATTTGGCTTCCTCAGTGTAAGAAACAAGACTGAAATAGATTTATACTACATAAAAGGCCTTCAGATTGTCGCTATACTTCTGTTTTTGGGAAGTAAAAATTAGATTTTTGCATTCAGGAAGCTGAATCTGGAATGTTCAACTTGCATTATTGAATATTTACATTCCTTTTTTTCAGATACTTAGAGCGTCTTGGCATTAAAATCTTGGAGCGGATTTATAAATAATGTTTAAATACTTGTACTCATCAGAGATTCACCTTCATAACGATTTTTGACAGCGCAATGAAACAAGAAATAACAAATAGGATATCTTGTCTTTGTCTGTAATTCTGTTTGTTGAAGTACTGTATTAGGTTTATGCGAAATTCTATATATTGTAGAATGTAGGTACTTATTTGTTAATATTTTAAGTGTTCGTCATCCGCAATACTCTCAGAATAATTATATCCGCTATCATTGCAGTGAATTTCATGTTCCTTATTGAAAGGACCTACTTATTTCTTTTTTAATAAATAGTAATATTGTATCTTGGAAGCAGTGATTATCATTCTGTCATTGAGTGATAGTGGAATGCTAATCACTGCTTTCAAAATATTTGCTGTTTTTTTGCTTTATGATATCTTCTAAGAGGTAATTCCTTGTATTTTTCTCTTTTTTTATAAAGTATAGTTTGCACACAGTTTGCATGCATGCACGCAATATTGACACGAAGTTGCAACTGGTGTGCAGGAAATACGAAATATTTGTTATTGTATAACATAACAATTTTTTACTTTTGCTTCAGCGTACGTTTCTGTATGGATGAAACTTAATAAGCAGTGTTGCTTTGCAACTATTTGAGCGTTGTTCCATCTCTTCCGTCGTTCTTTGTTTTTGTCTATCTTTATTGAAATCATTTCTTTTGCCTTTCCTTATTGATTATTTCTCATTTCTTTTGTCATTCTATATTGCAGCATCAATCTTTTATCTTCCTTTATTGAGATATCAATTCTTAAATTGAGCTGTCATTTCTTTTGTTTTCTATTATTCAAATATCATTTGGGAACTTTGTTTAAAAACATAGTATAAGTGGTGATTATTTACTTTTCTCTTCCTTCTTATTTTTTTTTTAATATTTGACTTGTTTGGAATTGTCCTCTTTAGAGTTTGGTATAAAAAATTTCAATACAGTTTGTTTGGTTGCAATTGATCACTTTCAATTGATCATTGTTTGCACCTACATGTTATTTTCTTTGAATTGGAATTTTGCCATAACTTTTGAGAAAGAAAACACGAATTTGAAGGAACTGTGCAATTTTCAAGTTAGGGTTATGGAAAGCTTTTCTTCGTTTTTAAGTTAGGATTACATGAAGTTTTCCGCAATACAAGTCGTTCAAGGGAAAATGCAATTCACATGAGAAGAGAAGTTAATTTTTGGCGGAAAATGTCAGCTTGTTCCCGTACAACGTGAAAAAGACGTTAATTAGGTTGTGATTCATTTTATCACAATAAGTTATTGGTAGAATATTTACCGTATGTAGTAATAACAGTACATTCACAAGGATGCACGAATCTCCTCATTATTAGCAATTTAGTATTTTGTTAGAGGTGTAGTAAGTTAGGAGTCAATCTATTTTCATTTCGTTCTTTGGACTTTATTGTTGAAAACGGCTGAGTCAGCAACTTCATTTGACATCTAAAAGTCATGTGATGTCAACGGGGATAGTGGGGATGTCATCATTGCGTTGACTAACTGCACAGTGTTATTCTTTAGTTCATAAAGAGGGAGATGGGGAGGAAAGAAAATTTGCTCAACCCAGAAACGATGATATTCTGATTTAATAGCTTGCATTCTCATTCGCAAGAGTGTACTTTTTTCGGAAGAGATAATGATACTTTTCAATTCCCACTGAATCGTAGTAACTTCAATTCATTATTTCTGCATTGATATTATTGTTAGTGTTATTATAATATAGCATAATAAGTTGTAATCGATAGGAAGTGTCGTCATTGAATTGCATTTCTATTTTTGTACGAGTTTTTTTCGTACTCGTTGTTGAAGTACTTAAGATTCCAGCTATTTCAGGTTAAAGAGATTGCTTTTGAAAGTGTGTAAACACAGCGATGTCTACAAAGGATCTGTCGAAGATGACGGTATTTTGAAATTACTTTTTGCCTTTGCTGTCTTATCATCAATAAGATTTTATGATTCACAATTCGTTCAAATTGTGAATCACTGTTATAAAATAAGATTTAAAATTGGATTCTGAAATGACGTGCGTGCTATCTATATATTTTTGGACTTATCTTCGATGTGTTACGGCTAAAGCAGATTTATGACAGCCAAATATATTTATAGACGCAGTAGTTATAAATAAACTCCATGTCCAAATTAGATAAAATTTTCATGTTTACCTGGGTTACAAACAGTAAAAGTTTTTATTTTCTTTGTGTATACTACCGAACCTACCTAGTGAGAAATAAGTGTGCACATATTATATTTATTTATAAATTGTTAGTTTGCAGGTTGTTCAGCTCCGAGAACAATTACGATCCCGTGGCCTTCCAACAGATGGTACGAAGGCTGCATTAATTGAACGTCTCAAAGGAAGTTATGCTGTTGAAGAGACAATACTAAATTCCGATGTCAGTGCTTCAAAGGACAGTCTAGGTGAATTGATCGGCTACATCATTTTATTTGAAATCTATTTTTGGCATTTTCGTAAGATGGGAAGTCAGATTTTTCAGAACTGGAAATTTTTGTTTGAAGGTCAATAATTATCGTTTTGATTTTTGGATTATATAGTCTCATAGGTAAAGTTGGATTAAACAAAATGTTCTAAATTGCTTATCTCATAGGATTCTCTTGAAAATCCCGTTTACCTTGTGTTCGGTTTTCAGCTTAGAATTTTTTGGTATATGCATATGAATAATTTTATAGAGGAAACAGTGCTGGAAGGTGCAATAAATGAAGACGACATTTTGGGACCAGATACTTCAATTAAAAAGAAGGTGTGTCTGGATTTTTTGATTTTTCTTCTCTGTTTATTGTGTGCACAAAGAATTTAGAAAAATTATTTAGACTAAGACATATTTTTTATGGATTAAAAATTATATTGTGGAATAACAATCGCTAGCTTAGTTAGTTCTACTGGAGATAAAAGTCATTTTGTTCTCTTCGATAGATTGTTCGATATATTTATAAATATTACAAAAAATACGAAGGATACTTCTGGCAAGTTTTCGGAAAAAAAGAAAAGTTTTCCATTACTTTTCAGCATATTTTTCTTTTTCCTTAATTTAAACAGTCTTATTCGACAAATTCATAAATGCATCTTTCGGAACATGATTAGGAAATAAGATAGATGTGCCGAATTGTGCCTTTTTGCAAATTGGAGAAGGCAAGTTTAATAAAATCTATATTTATTATCTGATTCTATTGCTCATTTGATCTGCAACTCAATGCAGCATGGCTCTTACAACCTGCAACCAATATCTATGAATTGCAACACATCATTGTAGTAGGCAAAGAGATTGCAAAATGATATTGACAAAAAAACTTTAAAAGCGTAGAGAAAAATAAAGAATGTAGTTTTCATTTTTTTTATTTTGAAGGAAAATACATAGAGAGTTATTGGTGGTTTTTAAACTAACGAAATTCGGAGCCTTTCGTTCAGAAATACAGAGTGGATTTTTGCTCATGAATTCATAAGTTGTTTATTCTTAAGAAGTGTTCATTTATTCCAGCAATTTTGGTGATGAAGTTTTTTACAGGAAGGTATAGCTCCTGCAGCGATACCATCACCGCCAGCAATGATATCGCCAATTGCTGGGGAGGCTAAAAGTAATCAACAAGCTGAAGTGAACAAAAAGGCAGAAGCAATGAATTCATTGGACGCCAAGCTGAAACGAGCTCAACGTTTCGGATTACCGCTGTCAGATGAACAAATGAAAGAGAAACGCGCGCAACGGTGATAATATCATTTTTTCAAAAACTATAACATGCAAATAGACTTTAAATTTATATGCAATTCAGTAACTCTTTTTTTTTAAGTTTAGCTAATATTAGTTAATGATTTGAGTTGTAATCTGTAAAGAAATTTATTTGTTATCTTTTTTATGAGAATGACACATTTCCTACATTGCGTGTTTGTCAAGTGTTAGGCATTCAATTTTTTTTCTTTTTAAAGATTCGGCATGCAGTTGAATGCAGTTGCAAACGTCGACGAAATTCTTGCGGAAAAGAAAAAAAAGAGGGCGGAGAGGTTGTTTGTTTATATTTCCTAAAATGTTCTTTTTTCGTAAAAAGGAATATTATATCTGAAGTGTTGAATATGTCGGGACCGATTATGATAATGTCTAACCATATTATATAATATTATTGAGAATACTGAAGCTTGTTTATTCAGACAATTGATCTTCGTAATACAAAAAAGTTCAGTAAAAAATGCTGACAATTTATTCTCATGGATAAATGCTGTGTACTGCCAAATTTGATTTCGTATGAAATAAAAGACTTTTGTAAATATGGAGAAGCTAGTTTTTTTGTCTTCTTTTTAAAAAGAAGCAAAAAAATCAAATGATGAATGAATTGCAGATTTGGTATTGTTAATGAGGCTGAAAAAATGCAGGAAATTTTAGATAGACGAGCTAAAAGGTAATCACTAATATGAACAAAGTGATCGTACTTTTAGGTGTTGATATCGAAAACAGAAACAGTTGTAAATCTTGAAATTCAAATTTTGCACAAATCTTATGTTGCTAGATTGATAGTACCATTTTACTCCTATTATAGGTTTGGAATTGATAATAAAACAAATGCAGTTATTGCTGGCAAAGTTGAGAAAGCTTCCTTGGAGGTATTAGAAAGGCGTGCGAAACGCTTTGGTTCATGCTCCGAAGAAGCAGAAGTATTTTTTCCTTTGCATTTACTGTATTATTTCATCAGTGATATTGATAGTTTAAAATATTACAGCTTATGTATATTTTAATTTCTTCCCAAGACAGCAGGTTTTTTTTTTTGATAGCGCTCAACAGGTCACTTGGCGAAAATGTTAGCAAAGCGAACATCCACGAAATGTTATTTAAAATCTATCGCTAAAAGAGAAGTAAACTATTAGATTTATTTTTAGATATTTTTAGTATTGTTGATTGGTTTACAGCTGGAAATAAAAAAGCAAAAACGCGCTGAACGATTTGGATTGAATAAGAATTGATTATCTCTTCAATCCACGAGTGGCATGGGTTCTTTTTTCCTGATATGTTGCAGAATATGTTTGTATATATCAACAATTCTAATTTCTTATTTGGAATATCATTCTTATCCATTTTGGACCGTATTATTAAAACATGTTTGAAACGTTGTTAAAGGAATTAATGATAAAAATCTAATAACTCGGAAACATAAATTTAAAATTTTAATTAAGATCAAAGATCCCGTTAAGATTTGAGATTATTTTAGTCACAACTATTGTATTTGTAGTAATTTTGTTAATAAGACATTGTACAGCAATGTCATGGTTTTGTATCTCTCTGTTAAAAAGTGAAGACCAATAAATTTTATTTTGAGATAAGCTCGATTTTGATGTCATTGAAATAGGAGTATTTGCCACTGAATATTTCAGTTTGAATTCAAATAAATTTTAAGCAAACTGATAAAAGACGTGTAAAGCCCAACGAGGGATACAAATATGTTGTTTTCGGTACACAGGATTGGTATTCGGCGATACTAAGTTGGTGGTGCGCTTAATTTTGACAATATAATTTAAGCTTACAATATGAAATAAAAGTGAAGCAGCAGCTTTATTTAGTGTAGGAGATTTTCTTGAAGTAATATAATTATGAATTTTTTTTTGCGTAATTTAAGGTTGTGTATTATGATGACTGTTATCGATCCATTGTGGATGTGTAACTTAAATTCTAATTATTTTGTATGCTTTTAACTCACCTGATTACTCCTTGTCACAGCTCTATCAATGTTGTGATTTTATGATCAAATAATTGATTGGGGGATATTAATCATTTATGGAATTTAGTAATGGTCGAGGAAGAAGTGGAGGTTTTGCGAAGTATATACGGTGATGAACTTGTAGTCGAGAGGAATTTTACAGAAAAGTATTCCGATCCTTTTTCGAGTTTTAAACAGAAATCAGTTTCCCTAGTTCTTGATTTGTAAAGGCTATATATAATTTTCGGAGCAGTAGTTTAATGTCTTAGTTGTTAATCATGATAACCATCATCCAGAAATAAACATCACTTTGATGCTTAACATTTTACTTTAGAGACTGAAATTCTTGAAAAAAATTAGTAATTCATTGTACAATTATTTTCACGAGTTTTAGCGAATCACCGATAACATTAAGCATGAAAATACGACCATCATTATCGCATTCACTATGTGCAACGAGTGTTCATGCCGTTATCAAATTGCCGGAGCAGGTAAATTCTAGTAATCGATGTTAATCGAGAAATAGTGCTGCTGATCCAATTCTAAAACTAATTTGAGTCTTCAATTTCTAAAGCAATAATAAACATAGTGCGCTTCAGTACCCGAAAATATCTCCGAAAGTTTATTTACGACAACAGCGAGGATTTGATGAAAGCAGTGCGAATATTCTTCAGAAAAGCATTCAAGAATATATTGAAGCCAGCATTGATATGCCTATCCTTTATGATATTTTTCAAGTTAGAATGTTCATATCTAATTTTGGTAGCTAAGGTTGATACTGCTTATAGTTGGATCGAAATTTAAAGCTAGTTTTTATTGTCGATTTTATACAGCCTAACTGCGGTTACCAAACTCTTCAACTCATTTTTTTGGAATTGTTCTGGAATATTTGCAGATGATTCAGAAATTTGTGGAAACTGAACAAAATTTTCCATGCACCGTTTGTCCAGTGTGCTTAGATGGGTTTAGCGCTGAAACTAGCACTTTTTGTACATCAAATTGTGATCATTATATTCATCAGAACTGTTTTATATGCTACGTAAATTACACAAGAAATGAAATCAAGAAAGAACTCAGTGAATGGCCAGAAGATATGAAGTCAAAGGTGGATCAGGTATGTGAATTTTGAATGATACCTTGGTGAGAAATGATATCAATTTGCTGATTTATCTTAAATTGTGTCTTGTGTCTTTTACACACTCGAACATCATTATGAGTACTGCAAATTTTTTGTCTTATATAATTTTGATCAGCTGGTATATAGTGGCAACGTGTAGTCAGTCTATGGGTGGCATGGAAGATTCATGATTAAGCCTGTTTCAAATTGAATCTTTTTAATTCACTTATGTTGAATTGTTTAAAGGTCTTAAAATGTCCAATATGTCGAACGCCGCTGAGTGAACAGGATTTATCAATAGTTGGTCAGGAATTGATCACTTTGGATGAAGCTATTGCAGATAAAGGAAAATTTGAATTTAACTGGGAAGAATGGCGAGTAAAGCGTGAAGAATTGCAGCTAGTTTTTGAGCGACAGAAGGCTAGAGGTGGTATAATTGATCCAGAAGAGGAACGAAAACGTTATCTCATCACTGAAGATGTTGTAAGTTTAACTTATTTGTAGTTCTCTTTGAGTTGTATCATTAATTCCCTTCTACTATCGTTCTCATGTATGTTACTAATGAATAATTCTAATCTCAATCAAGCTGCTAGATGTTTGTAGTTGTTGTCTACTTGACGGATGTTTAAACCAATTTCTTCATAGCTAGTATTTATAAAATTGTTTGAAATATTCAACTGTTTGCTACAGGTGTTTGAAACACAACCCGTCGTAGAATCATCCCAGCAGAAAAAAAATGTCGGAGCCGTTGAATTTGTCGAAAATGTATCATCGGAATCCTCTTGTCAGTTTTTGGATCATCAAAAATACAGACATCCTTATTCGTTATTTCAACTTCAAAACCGGAATATGAGATTCAAGAGTGGTCCCTCCAATGAAAGATTTAGGAAAGATCGAGGTGGAAGTGGTTATATTCCCACATAAGAGTGATCATTCGAAAGTATTGGATGAATAAACAAATTAGATATTAAGCAGTGATATAATTAGTTTTCATATTTAACTAGAGAATTAAAAACATAATGATTGCCCAAATGTTTGTTGGTTTGAAGAAAAATGAGATTGATGAAACTTTTATATCTTAGTTTATGTGCTTAGGTTTTGGAAAGTAAGATTTTTTCATTTTATTTGACAAGAATGGTCGTTATTTAAGTTCAGAAGTGCAACAGTCCTTATTATTTTCTGCCTTTTTTCAATATGTATCTTGTTCATTTCTTGTGCAAATTTGGAACCTATTTTTTGCAGAAATGTCTTTTGTTCCGAGTGTTTGTCCTCTTTCAGATTGGTGTTTGAAATTAAAAGCTCTTTTCTTTAAACGTAATAAATGGAAATAGTTAGAATACAGTTAGTTTGAATAAAAACTCTCTGTTTGATTAGGTTATTGTCCATGATATTGCTCAAACTTGTGACCTCAGCAGTGTTCCAAAATTATTCTCTCTTTTTTAATTAAAATAGAAGGACTAAAAGGGCGCAAATAATAGAGGATTTTGTTTGGAAATCATTTCATCGATATTAAAGTTTGAAATTGTAGTTCATCCGAAATTACTCCATTTCCTAAAATGCAACAATTTCGAATCTTTTTAAGCATTTTTTTCTTTCGCTTTTAGTCAGCTGTTATGTTAGCTAACTGTTTATAATAATTTTTGTAAATGAAGTCATATTTGAGTGAAGCATATTTCTGTGTTCATTATGCATTTCAGTTACTGATACGAAATAAAAAGTAAAGTTCAAACTTTGTCGTGATATCATTTTGTAGGTGTTGTAGAATTCAGGAACTTGCCAACGAGTTTTATGATTTATTTTAATTTAAACCATGTTTATTCAAAATGTCGAAGAAGAGAAAAGTTAGTGCGAAATAGGAGAAGTAGGAAGAGAGTTGGATTATCGTTTTTTTTTTCAAGTTGAGAATTTAGTAGAAGAAGATAAATACGCGATCGGTCGCCAGCACCTTCACTGATCATTCCCTCATTCGAATGGCTCATCCTTTCGCGATGGTAAAAATGTAGTAAAGGATTGCTGAAAAAATCATGTCTTTTACATCATTTTCATTATTTTATCTTTATTCTAAAGGTTTTTTTTCAAAAGATTTCGTATTCGTAGTATTTTCCAGAATAACTTTATTTGAATGTCACGTATGTTATACTTTTATACCTATGCGAACTTCTCAGGCTTACACTATTGAAAGTGGTTATTTTATTATCCGTAATCGTCAATCAATTTTCGAACAGTTTTCCTTCCATTCTAATTATTGAACAATGAGTGTTCCTCATTTAGGGAATAATTCTCTTGAAGAGACATTTTAAAAAAAAAAAACATTGAAAGTTGCATTAACTTGCTTGCTTGTACTAATTAGTTATTAGCATTATAGCGAGATGCTAACCTTTTTAAATCATATCGGAAATCAGTTTATTAATCCTCTCAAAATAACATACATGGCTTTTGTAATTATAAAAATATCAACTAACTATTAGGCGAGTTATCCATTCTACAGTAGGTAAATTTGTGTTCTCTCTTTTTTTCTTACGTATTTTCTAAACTATAGAATTTAACGATTTGTTTGAATGAAAAAAAAAAGATGAACATGAGAATTTATCATACTCAGAAATCTCGGGAGAAGGTATTGGAGTAGGAGAGATGCTGAATATGAGGAGAAATGAAGATGAAAACTTATTCTCTCTCTTTCATCCTATCCTTTGTTGAGAAATAGCCAATATTAAAAGAATGTCCTCCACGCAGCCTTCCTTTCATTTTTTCATTATCCGTCATTTTCAAAGAGACATTGTGGATGGTGCAATGATGGCAGCGATTGAGAAGAGAAAAGCTTTAGGTTTCAGATTTTGTCTATCGTCGACTGTTGTTTGTGAAGAGAAAACTTTGCAAGTGGTAAGCAAGACATTTTATCTTTTGACGATTGTTAGACCGAGAAACCTTGAAAGTTGGACGATGATCGAGGAGGTTGAAAGTATGAGCAAGACATTTTTACTTTGACAGCTGGATCGTCATTTTGTAAACATTTTTCATACCGGCAGAAGAATTACCATTATGATTTCCCTTATCATTATCACCCACAATTTCAATTCTTTTTCTTTGATTCAAAAATATTTTACAAGACTTTTCCAAATTCAATCACACACTTAGACACATCATTTGAACTACTCTTGAGCTTGTAAGTTTGACTTTTGCCTACGATGGTTACTATTTCACTATCATTCTGACTAGCTTGTATCAAATTTCTAAAACATACATTCATGTATCAGTCACATTCTTCGATAATATCATTTATCAGTGACATTTCTGATCACCTATATCACGCAGATAGAATTCTGAAGAGTGTTTTTAATTCTGGAACTAAGAAAAAAATTTTGTAAACCAAAAGAAATGATGCGATGAATAAGCAAATGCTATCTTTCCTAGCACTAGCATAATATTCATTCAATAGTATGGGAAATAAGCAATGTTTATGGAATTTTCTTTATATTTTATGAAATTACTTTTTTACGCATTAACATTGACAGTTAATGTATTTGCTTATATTTCTTTCTCATAATGTTATTTGATGTACTTTCAGTGACGATTTTCGGTGATGTTCACTTTAAATGAGAATGATTCAGGTCATTTCAGAGGAATATGTCCTTGTTATTCATTTCATATTAATTTGTATGACAAATAAACTGAACATACTCTTAGCTTATTCCTTGTCAAACTTTCTTCCAATATCTCTATGAAGAGAAAGGGAGAGAAAGAAAGAGAGTGAGAGAGTCTCTTCTGTAGCAATGAATTCCAATGATTAAAATCAACTTCGATTTATGTTTAGTTGAAAGTGAAAACTTTTATAAATTTTATTTTATTATTTTAGTCCATTGTAATTATGGGGATATTCTCTTCGCTGTATTTGGAGTATGTCAAAAAGGAGCAATGGAATGAATTATAGAAGTATTAGCATGATAGCTTTTCCTATAACAGAGATTATAAAGCTATATTTCTTTCATGTGACCTTTCATTGTAAATTGCTGACATCATCCAATGATAGTTCTTACTTGAAGCTAACAATGGAAATATGTTGTAGAAAAACGTTCCTATAGTGAAATTGATAGTATCTAATAAGCAGCTCTTAGGAATCATTACAAAGTTATATTTATCTCTAATTATAATTTTTTGTATTTCAAAATGAAACCAGCGCTTTCCAGTTCAATAATATCATTCAGAAGTTTATTTTGGAGGCTGAAATGTTTTTATAGATCCCGACATTCGGATGTTCTGCTTGGATTGCTGCTATCTCAGCTGTTTTGCATCTGAGTAATCACACAATTTAACAATATTAATAAGATGACGCTTAAAGTGACAATAATAGCACTAATAATGCAGAAATATTTGTGATGACAACATTAATAATAAATAGCAGATCTGATAATAATAAAAATGACAATGATTGTAATAATAACGACAGTAATGATTGCAAAGGTTAAACATCCAATTAGGAATGATTGATTGCTGAATATATACATATTTATTGCTGCGAAAGGAGTGTTTGCAATAAATTGATTTCAACCAGCAAAATGGTTAGTAAAGAATGTGACATATGTTAGGTATGTGTGTTAGGTATATTTCATGTTAGGTATGTAACATTGTAAATGATGTCAATATTTTTATTTTAATTATGTTGATTACTCTGGTTAAAATTCATGAGAAGCGAGCTCATCGATGTGAAAATGAGAAAAGAGAGATGAAATTACCATTTATCGCATGCTGAAGTAGCGGTTTAATGAGAATCGATTTCTGTCATTCCTGGCCTATTTCCACCAAGCTATGCTTTATGGGTTTTGCGCAATGTGCCTAATGTGAACTCATTAGGTTCGTCACGTAACAATCAGTAAGCGCCATTTTTCTCTATCGGATAGCTCTTGTATGATGACACACCTGTGTACCTCCATTACTACATCTATTTGATCTTATTTGAAGGAGTGGATAGAAATGAAGGTTAATATCCTTTATTACTTAAAATTATTTTAACATTTTATTATTTGATTATTTTAAGTACTACATTTGACTTGTTTCTCGTTTATTACCCAAAGTTGAGTATTTCAAATTTTCATAAAAATATGATTGCATCATTTTAGGCTTAGTTATTGAATAAACATAAACAAACGCTTCATTACTAATGCTGAAGGATATTGTGATTGCTCCGACCAATAATGCTCTTCACAATTAAATTTCAGTTATAAATGAAAACCATTGTGAGTAAATTCTTTTATGTTTATATTGATTTTTCAAATTGTGAATTCGAATATACATAAATTATTGTTCAATTTTATTTGATCGGATATTCATTTTGAGGTCTGCTATTCTAACGAATCTCAAAAAATATGAAAAGCCAAAAAAAGCAATCAATCGATGCTTTCTGCTTTCTAACCAATCATTGTTGTCTGCATGTTTATTCATAATATGATGATATTTAAAGCTATAATTGAATGATAATTAGTTAAGTTGAAATTCTTATCTCTTATCCTTATGAATTCATTCCATTTTACTCCTTTTAGTCACACATTTTTTTTAAATCATTTGTTATTTTGTTTTCATTCATATTTTAACATGCAAAAATTTCCATTGCGACATTGATTTTTTTTGTGGAATGTGTTATTTGTGATAGTATTGATTGCGATTACATTCCTATTTTCAAATTTTTTTTTCCACTTATTGGCAATAACAATTATCCTACGGATATACAACAACAACAACAACAACAACAACAACAACAA